CAAGTTGCCTGGCAAAAATAATTTGTTGATTGAACTTCAAATCTTGTAATTCAAGTCACTTTTTATAAATCTTGAGCAAGATCAAAAAATTAAATATTGATTTATGTAGAATTGAATTTCTGATTATTACTTTTATTTTTAAATTTGGAAAAGATGGTTAAGTATTTTTGGATAAGTATATTGATTTGCTATAGCATTATTTTTGGAATAGTTATGCACTGTAACTTTAAATAAATAATATTGATTTGTATAGTTATGCATCACAACTCTAAATAAGTGATATTTCTTTTAGTTATTCATTTTCTTTGATATTGAAAGCCCTAGAACATATAATTACAAGTATAAAAATATCAATATCCTTTTCTTTAGTTAGTGATTCTTATTAGTTAATTGTCTCTTTGAATACACTCTTCCAACCTCTTTTTTTCAATTTCTGTCAAAATTGGCACAGACTTAGATACTTATTTTTGCACTAACCAATTTTATTAGTCTATTTCTTTCTATCAACTTATATAACTCTTTTACTAATAGTGAAGAAATCCTTTATTTAAAATAACTATAGCAGTACTGTTCATCTTATAATTCATATATCTGTTGTATTTATCTCTAGTAATGCTATCTTTTTTGAAATAAATTACTAATTCTATATGTATTTGTACTAGAGACATTATAAATACTTTAAAAAAGTTAATATATTCTGGAATCAAATTGAGAGACAACTTGCTAAGATTCTTATTTAACAAATTTACAAATTTACAAATTCTATATTATAATCAAACTTTTAATCAACTTTGTTAATTGCAGTTTGAGATTTCTAGTTTAATTATACTATTACTGTTTTACTTGAATTTCAAATATATTATATCTTCTTATGTGCTCAACACGTATTTCAAGTCAGATGGAAGAAATAAAATAAATAATTAAAAGTGGTGACATGTATTCATTAAATTACTAGTCAGCTAAAAAGTAATTTAAGAAATCTTTTTATAATTTAATGTATATTTAATAAAATAATTACGATGATGATTTATAAACAAGTAAATTCAATTTATTAAATTATTTCAATGATATGACATCACAACATATGAGAGATCCAAATTATAAATATGACATTACAAACATATAAGAGATCATTAATATAACATTATAATGTATAAGAGATTATTAACATAATATCACAAATATGTGAGAAGTTATAATAAAACTAATATAAAATTTAAATAATAAAATAATAAAAGAAATATTTTAACATAATAAATGTATTATTTTCAAAAGAGTATTATTATCAAAGGAGTTTATTTTTGAGCCATTAATATTTGAGTTAACTGAATGACTGATTTTTTTAAGCTAAAATATATGTTTCTTTTATATAAAATTGTTAAATTAAAACTACCAATAATATTTACAAGAAAATCACTTATTCGCTCGCTTAGTTACTCACTTATTTACTTGTTTTGTGGTCTAATATAAATATAGATCATCTAATATAATATAAATAAATAATCTGTATATTATTTGTAAATAATAATATAAATAATAATATAAATGTGATACAAATAATAATATAAATAATGATATAAATAATAATATAAATAATGTAATATGAGATGTAAATAAGAAGATTTTAACTAATTAAAATATAAATATGTGTTCTTAAAATTATCCAATAAGATTAAATGATAATTTTGACTAATAATTAATATGAAATTCTATTATATAACAATACAAAATATTACTAAAGTGTTAAAGATTCCATCATAAATATTAATTTTTTTATTAAAATGTAAATAGCACAATAATATGGAATTATAATTATTATTTTCTGTTTCACATATTTAGATTAATAAAAAGCTTAAGAATACTGAAAATATCAAACAAAATTCTAAAAATGCAAAGTGTTTTAGGAAAATTCTTAATATATTTTAATATTATTTATGTTATAAAAAAATAAATAATAATAAAGAAAATAATAGAATAAAAATAAAAATAATAGTACAAAAATAAAAATAATAATATTAATTAAAACAATTGATAATACCAATTTGAAAATGGTAATGCTAATTTAAAAATGGCAGTATTAATTTAAAAATAATAATAATAATTTAAAAATGATAATGCTAATTTCTAATAATATGATATTTATATAATAATTAAACTATTTTTATCAATTTAATATTTTTCTGAAATTTTTATATTTTTACTATATATATTTTTATATTTCCATATTTGATAATTCCAGTATTAATATAGCATTTATTAATATAGTCATCCAATTAATAATTAATAATTTATCTAATTAATTACCATAGAAAAAAAATATAATTAATTCTATTATATATATATTTTTTATTATTTTTGAAAAGTTATTTAATTAATGAATTTTTAGAAATTATTATAATAATATTAATATTTATTAATAAAATATTACAAAAAATTAGCAAAATTAAAATAACCAAAATATTTAATTAAATAATAATAATAATAATAAAACCAGAACAAATATAAAATTTATATCAATAAATAATAATAATAATAATCAAATCAATTTTTTAATTACTAATAATTGCTTTATAAATATTAAATTTTATTTAATAAACTACTATTTTGAATTTTATAAACTTAATTTTATTTATTATTTATAAATATTTAATTAGTAAATAAAACAAAAGTTAAGTTAAAAAATCTAAAGTAACTATAAAAAAGATATAAATATAATTAAATTAAATAATATAATAATATTAAATATTTTATTTTTAAAAATTTTTTTGAATAAAATAAATTTATTTAAAACTTTATAAATTTAAATTAAATAAATATAATTTTATTTTGATGTATTTAAGATATTATTAATAATTTAATTTTTCCAAAATTAATTAATATTTATATTTAATTAAATAAATATATTAATTTTATCTTACCAAAATTAAATATAATTTATATTATCAAAATTATTATATTAAAAGAAATTTAAAAAGAAAAAAGATAAAGCAATTCTACCTGTTTTAGCTACTAAATTTATTTTATATAATATTTTGAATAATTTAATAATTAGCAAAGCTAATATTATATTTAAATAACTACAATGACAATTAAAAAGAATTGAACACTAAAACAAATTTATTAATAAAATATAGTAAAAATATGAAAAATGTAAGTCTTTCTCTTTATATAAAAATTTTCAATTTTACTAATAAAAATTTTTTATTTTTATATTAAAATGAAGATAATATTACATATTTTAACATATATTTTTTTCAGATTTTTTAGATTTAATTTGATAAAGTTGTTTTAATTGCATATAAAGTCAATTATTTTTTAATAATAAAAATATATAAAAAATAATTAACTTTATATGCAATTAGAACAGCTTCAACAGATTAAATCTAAAAAATCTGAAAAAAATATATGTTAAAATATGTGATATTATCTATATTTTAATGTAAAATAAAAAATATTTATTAATAAAATTAAAAACTTTTATATAAATAGAAAAACTTGTATTTTTTATATTTTTACTATATTTTATTAATAAATTTGTTTTAGCATTTTATTCTTTTTGATTGCTACTATATAACCAAATTTTTCTATAATTATTACTCTTAGAAAAGCAAAATTTGATAATTATAAAAAGAATATGATTATAGGGTGATTTTTTATTATATTTATATATAAATAAAAAAACAAAATAGAGTAACTATAAATAAGTATGACTATAAAGAAGTTTAACTATAATTTAAATCCCATCTAAATAATATTTAAGATTATATAAAAAAGTTAGAATTATTTTAATATAATATTAAAATTATTCTTATTAATCTGATTATTAAAACTAGAGCTTTTAATTATTGTTATCATAACTTCTTAAAGAATTATAAAATTAAAATTTAATGAAAATCTAATATCATAATATCAAATATTAATAATAAATTAAAACAATCTTTTGAAACAATTAATAATTTTCAATCACTATTGCTAAAAATATAATTTTTGTTGTTAATATTACTAAAGCTCATACTTATAATATAATAATTGAAATGAATTAGTAAATAAAATTAAAACAAAACTTGATTTTATAGTGAAGTTATTTAACTAGAATAATAAAAAAGAAAACATCAATTTTAATCAGTATTTTTATAAATAAAAAACAATAATATTTATTACAGAATATAAAAATGAATTAGTAATTGTAATAATACTAAAGAACAATTTATTTTTTTTGAAAATAGATCAAATTTATTTGACACTTAATTTAGACCATTTAGATCACATTTGCAACAGCAATATGGAAATATCTAGTAATATTTATTGGAATAAAAAAAGATTTTGATATCTATATATCTTTATTTATTAATTAAAGATGAAATATAAAAATATTATAAAAAATAGAAACCTTTCGTGCTTTTTTTGATTGTTGAATCTGCAATTTATTACAAGTTTTGAGTGAATACTTAGATACACAAAGAATTTCAAAGAAAATTTTTTTGCCAATTATCTATCAAACTTTTGAACCTGTTTTGCATTTCGTTTTTATTTCTTTAACTAACTATAGTCAAAAAACTTACCATTTGTCTTTAGTACTTCTTGTGAACAACATTCAGTCAGCTTGATGATCTAGGTGATACATGTCTATGGGCACAATACTCCAATTACTTATTTGATAAGTCATGTATTTATAAAGTGTACAAAACAGAATGGAATAAATGGGTTGATAATGTTTTGCTACTTTTGAGTTTGTTCTCCACCAGCGTAATGTAAAATCAATTCATAACAAAAAAACATTATCGCCGCATTAGGAACAACACGCATCAAATGTGCAGTCAAGCCGCCATACATGGCCATTAAACCCTCGTCCCGAATGATAGTCTTTGCACATTGAATTAACCCAGTGTATTTTACTTTTTCGTTTGGTAGTTGTCGTAGACGTGTTCTTACCACCTTTTAATAAAAGAATAATATAAATTATGACTATATTATAAAGAAATTATAATACTAATAACAAAAGCATCAATATACTTCATGGGGATATGTTAACCCTGCCGCAAAAAGCTTGGCTGACCCGGCAGCTAACAAATTGTCCATTAGATGCCAATAATCTTTACTTCGTACAAGAGTTTGAACATCATCCGATTCCACTTTCTGTTGACCTTTCCGTCTTTGTGACAGAGTCGCTTTCAGATATTCATAAGTGACCCATTGTGTTGTAGTTTCGGCCGCACCTAATCAATAGTATTTATTAGCTTTTGAACATAATAATAATTGTTATTACTATACTATTATCATTACTATTATTAAATGATATATTATTACCTAAATACGATGCACTAAGCCCTTTATAGAGTCCCTTTATTCCTTCTTCTTTCACCACTGTTATCAAACAATCAACGGAATTCCTATATTTTTTAACCGGGAATAATAATTGTCCAGTTGATGGTTGTAGTTGCATTCGCGTTTTAACTAGCCATATAGGATTAGTTACAGTTGACGTGGTGATTCCTGTATAGATTAGACTCATTATTTTTTTTATCATTAATCGCTGTAGAAGAAAGTATTGACCATAATAGTAAGTAATTATACCCGCTAGTGCAGCTGCTAGGGTATGTACCGTTGCCGTTTCCTTCCCACCATTAAGATCTGTTAGAATCCGCTTCCCATTTCCATACGTGAAAAAAGTGATTGCTCTATTGTTGTTATAATAAAATAAAATAAAATTATTAATAATATGATAAATATATAGAAATACGTAGGAATGAAGCGTATGACATGCCTTGAGGACTCTTATACCTTGCTGGAACAACTCCCACTAGATTCGGTCCGAGACCCTTGAATAGTGCCTGCCAACCCTCTACCCGATAAATTGTCCTATTTTTGTTATTATTATCATCACCACCAAAATACCAAAATAGCCCAAGGTAAGAATAACACATTTGTTCATCCGCATGCAAAAGAAATTATGATCGAAATCAAAATACCCTAATAATCTTCCTGTATCTATGAATTTTCCTAATATTGGAATTGTTGACGGTGGTTTTGTTACTTGATTAAGACCGATTTTCGAGTAATAAGATGACTGTTGTTACCAAGGAATAATAAATCGAATCATAAAAACTGGTTATATTTGATTTCTATGTTTACAGTGATGGGCAAGTATACATATAACAATAGCTCGCCTGAAGTCGCGTTTTTACAACATCTAACGGGCAAGTGACTATGGCACCAGCCATGCCGCCGGCACTAAATAACAAAAAACGCGTAAGGTAGATATCCATTAATCCAAAGTCTACTGAAAGAAATTAGGTTAAATATAATAATAAAAGAAGCGGATAATAAAAAGGTTACAAACCCTCCCGCGACCAGGTGTAGCCATGCTTTCGAGTGACCAGCTCTATTAGCAGTGATATTAGTATCTTTTTGAGAGTTGGTTGTCGTGGTTGTTGTCTGTTGTTGTGTTGTACCGTTTTGTCCTGGAAATTTCAGTTGGTTAGGTGAAATTTGAGGACTTGTAGTAGCCATTATAGGCATTATGAAAGTTATGTTTAGGTGTAAATTTCTCTGCTATTCTCTGGGTAACTAATTTACCAATATATTGGATCAATTATTAGAAATTAATGTTTATTCGCGTTCTATTATGATTATCAAAAAAATTTTTTACATAATTTGATCGTTACCAAATCAAGTCTAGAACGAAAGATATTCACATAATTTCCTTTTATATTTGATTTTAAATTGCCAGTTAAAAAAAATCACAATTGTCATAATACAACACATCCATCTCCCACTATTTTTTACTTATATCAAGAAAACATCCTCATTGGCCAGTACGATTCTAACAAAAATATGGAAAAAGCGTTAGTGAGAATGGATTAATAAAAAAATAATCAACTTTAACAAAGAAATGAATACCAGGATCAGGTCTATCAGCATCCTCCGAATGTTCCCATTGATAGGCACGAGTATTAGGTACCGGAGGCAATTTATCCTTCGAATATAACGGTTTTGGCAGTGCTGCAATAATATCAGTCAATGACATATCTTCGACGATTTTTGATATATCTGTCGTTGTATTAGTTGTCGTGACGTCTGTTCCTTTTTCAGCATCACCACCAGCCGTAATACTTGAGGAATAGATTAAATCATTTCATAGAAAAGAAAAGATCAGCAAAGAGAAAATACTAAACAATGATGATGTATAAGTACCTTGTCAGATTGCTCGTCGCGATTAATACAGCCACATCTTTTTGCGTATATACACCCAACCTGGGATAATCTCGACGTGCGTCTCGTTGAAAATAGTAATTCCCAGCGATATCGGAATGTTTTGTTGTTGGCCGAACATATTTAGGTTGTGATCTGTTTTTATTTGTTGTTTATTATTGAGATAATTCATCAGTTAAAAGAGAAAGTTTTGATTTTCTTTACGTACCCTGGAGCTGGTGTACGATAGGTTCCTGTTATCGGGACGCCTGTATTTGTTGAAGGATTCTATTTTTTTATTTGATTGACTGTAGGTGAGTAAGAGACAAGTACATTCATATGTAATAGTTAAGTATTTTTTATCTGCGTTTTGAATTCTGTTCATGTAAAGAACTTTTGTTCTGAAGGTTTTTCTGAATTCTCAAAACGTGCGACTTTCTTTGTGACTTTCTCCATGTATTAAAAACTAAAGTAAAACAGATCTTTACTTACAACAGTCAAAAGTTTACGAATTAAATCATAAAACTTGTTCTTCGAGCCAAGTGTATATGACATTTTTGTCAGTTATAGTGCTAATCACGTGCGCTTCCTACAAAATAATTTCGATCTTTGACGTGATTTATCTATATTCTATTACTAAATCACGTGAATGTTCTTTAAATACACACCCTAGAGAGGGTGTGCATGTGACTACTAAAAATTTCCAATTGATTTAAAAATTTTGCTTTAAAGATATCAGAATTTTCTGATCCTCGTGAATTCACAACGATGAGAGCTTTCACGTGAATACACATAATAAGATCACCCTGGAGTAGTATAAGTAGTATGATATATTGCATATATTTTTTGCAATTGTAACAGCTATGTATATTCTGATTGATATTCGAGAATAATAGCTGATAATAATTTAAAAGACAAAATTGGAAATAAATATTTTTAATGATAAATATGAGCAAGTCAAAAAGAAGATTTCATGTGAATTGTATGATTAACGAATGACGAAATTAGATAAAAGAGACATATATGTGGGGGTGTGTGTGCGTGTATGTGTGTTAGAGGAACTAGCCGTTTTGTAGTTATTTTACCAAAAACCCACGTTTCCATCCAAAAATCAATCATAATAAAGCACACGATCTACATTTTCATCAGCCTCAGCACGAGATTTCTCCAATAACCCCACCAAACTATTACTTCTCGTTAAAGTGTTAATCATTTTAACAGCATCTACGGCCTTTTTAAAAGTACGACGTGCATTAAAGTTTTGACGAACGTTGGTCAATAAATCACGAGGAATGTCGACCGGACTAGGTAGTATGGACGAGAGCCATGGGTGATGAAGTGCATCTATGGCTGTTGGCCGCATTTGTGGGTTGCGGTTTAAAAGACTCGTTATGAAATTTTTTGCTATTGTTTTATTTTTATTGAGAAAAAAAAACGAGTAAGAATTTAATATAAAAGTCTGTTGGAATTTATCATATTAAGTACCGGTATCAGAAATCCCTTCCCAATTTTCTACAGGTTCAAATTTATAATCAGCTTCTAAAATTGCTTTAGTTTCCAACTGGGTGCTTTCCCTCTCGAATGGTGGAAAACCACTCAGTAGGAAATAAGTGATCACTCCAATTGCCCATAAGTCCACTGGTTTTCCATGTCCTTCCCTGGTGTGAATCTCTGGGGCCTAAATTAGAAAAATTATAATGACTTTAGCAACATTTGATGTGGCGTGTTAAATATTACGAGAGAGATATATATATCCTTGCATATATGTACCATGTAACCAGGTGTACCGCAAGTAGTGGTAAGCACATGAAACGTTTCCGAATCGATGATTTTAGAGAGGCCAAAATCAGCAACAAGAAGATCAGAGTCATTGGCACGTGTACGAAAAAGGAGGTTCTCAGGCTAGAAAAAAATTATAATCAATTAATTGGTTTGTTTCCGGAGAAATGATTATTTACGTTCAATAGAAGAAACATGATTTCTTACTTACCTTTAAGTCTTCATCATTATGACCAGATATCGATAAAACATTTTAAAATTTAATCTAATAACCAAGCCAAATTTCTTTAAAATTATCACTCACCTCTATGGACTATTCCATTTTCATGGAGATAAGCAACTGCTTCTGTCACACTACGAACAAGATTCGCAGCATCACGTTCATAGTAAAAGACTTTTTCGCAAATACGATCAAATAATTCACCCCCTTCAGCAAGTTCCGTGACTAAATAAACTGTATAGATGTGTGTTATATATTAGTTTTTTGGGGGTTAATAATCCATATCATATAAAGATTCCAAATATTTAAATGTCAAATAAAGACTCACGATTATTCATAGTCTCAAAATAATCAAACAATGTCAAAATATTTTTATTCCCCGCCGAAACTCGTTTCAGCACTGCAATCTCATTTCTAACCATGTGTTCCCTGCCTTCCATTAATTTTTTATTAATAACTTTAACTGCATACATCTGACCAGTTGTAATCTTTTTATAGAGGAGAGAATAATAATCATCGAATTAATGTGTTGAACACCAACGAGGAAAAATTATCGATTATAGGAACCAATGATTATAATTATTAGAGAAACTTACATGTTGTGCCTCTGAAATTGTCATAGAAAAAAATCGTATTAATTCATCAAATCATTTCGATATCAAGGAAATAGATATTAATAGGTTTTAGCTAACCTTTCACAACAGCATAAGTTCCTTGTCCAAGAGTTCTTCCCGTTTTATACTAATTTAAATGTACGCATATACAGATAGACAACACATCAAAAAACCAGATAGACAGAGACATTTTGATTTTTGAGCAATGTAATTGTTGAAACGTTTATTTTCTTAGTTTTCCGGGTCATTGTAATACTTGATAGACAGCAACAAGTTATAATTTAATAGCAATTCAAGAGCCTAATTAATACCTGACAGGGGACAGTTGCAACATTAGCCATTTTTTTTAGTTTTTATATGAAAAATAAATAATGATAAAAGATCGAATTAGAAGAATTCAACTTGTTCCTCGAATTAATTTTCGGGATTTTATATCTTTAATTTTTCGCTGTATTTATCCTTCCCTGGTTGTACAACCCACCACCGCGCCACCACCCCTTTAATTGGGAAATAATGGAAAGAATATGCAAAGTTTGTGCAAGTGGCTAATATGTTCTTAAAGTGGATCAAAAAATGATGTACAGTAATGTGTTGTAACGTAATGTGTTGTATTGTACCTTATTTATTGCCTACCAAAAACCGGAATAATCTCTATTCATTTTCCATATCCTGCGTCAATGCATCAACCCTCGAAAATTGCCATGACCATGCAGAATTATACAAGAACGGCCGTAAATCGAATCGATTATCGTCAGGGCTATACGATTCTGCGTGATACGATGGCGTGAGCGTAGTCATTTTGTGACGGTTGATGGCATAATAATAAAAAAATCGTTTCACTTTTATTGCTATCTGATTTATTTGATTTTGGGAAATTTAGAAAATTACCATCTGACGTGAACAAACAATCAAAGCAATTGACCGCTAAGGTCAGATAATTAGAAAAAATATCTACTTGAGTAGGTCTCAATTCATTACCCCACTCATGCACCAACTTCGTAAACATCGAGAAAGGACCGCATTTTTGGTTTTTTCGCAGGCGTCCAAAAATCGAGAGTTCTTTATATGTCATTCCCATATCAATCTTGTTTTTATAAACCACCAAGAATAAATAGACTATTTTTATTTGCTTTTGGAAATGAACGAAAAAAAGAAATACCTCATCATTTTGCACATATTCATTCGTTATAGGTTCAAGTTCTGCTGTTGGCTGTGCATCAAGAAATCTAATATTGAGAAAGGAGAGTATAAATTAATATCACCATCATCGTACTTTGAATATTATATAGTTAAAATCAGTCAAATAAAATAATATTATAAATACTCTTGTAATACAGGCAACTCGAAACAATCCTTCGCATAACCAATAAACCGACGTAAATCCGTTTTACTAATGCTCCCAATAGGACAAATATCAGCGCTGGAGCAATCATATTTTGTAAAGTATCCTCGCAGACTATTATAGAATAAAAACCAAATTTAATAATTTTAATAGCATTTAATGATGATTAATAGACACCAACCATTCATCTACATTCGCACTTCCCAATACAAGCAATGATCCATTTCGATTTCGTACCCATGGTAATAGCTGCGCGAAAAGATATGCTAATAACATTCGAAGTCTAGCCTGATGGAAAATGCAAATATATCAGAATTAATATTTTAAGTGTAATTAATCATTAATTCAGTTATCGGATTTTCTCTAATAATTAAAATTAGTAAACAATGAAAAAACAGATAAACGCAAACAAATACCTGTATATTTTGTAATGCCAAATTTTCCGTATTAGATCCACCATGAACACGATATCGTGGAGTCCTATTGGTGACCAATGCGAACAGTGTATGCACCGCACTCACTAAATTGTCCATGTTTAGGTCTATGTGATAACTTTTACGCCAAAAAAATGCAATTAATTTTGGATGAGAAGAGAAGAGTCCAATTTGATTTTTAAATGTATAATAAATACCTTCCAATAGAATCCGCTAATTTTTTCGCACGTTGACGCGTTTCTTTGCTTGAATTTTCGGTACCCATATAACATGTGTGAAAAATTCGACTAAGAAATGATTAATTCAGAATTAACTAATTATCTAATTTTAAACAAGAAATAATTAAAAATGTTAAACATAGAAATTTACCCTGTTAGCTCTTTAGGATCCCTTGGGATGTACATTGAGTCTTCGGATTCTCCCACTATTCTTCTTACATCTTGAATAATATTTTCATCTATTCCAAATGCAAACTGGTATAATCAAATCAATAATCGAAAACAAAATAAATTTACGAATAATTTAATTACCTCCTTTCTCAACTGCTTCAACAACCAATCGACTCATGGAATAAACGATAACTGCCGTAGAGCAACTATCAATGCCTCCACTCAGCGGCAAGAAATACCCACTCATATTTGATCGACGAAGATAATCCCAGAGCCAACAAGCAGGACCCAATCTTTTAAAAGGAAAAAACAGCATAATATATGAATAAAAAACTGAATAAAAAATGAAAAATGTAAATATATATAATTTTCATTCACGTAATCTCTTGCTCGGGTGTATGATAAAATTCTTTTATCGGTTTAGTTGGTGGCATCATAAATCTAAGCTTTGAATTTTTCCCAGAATCAGATAAAGCAATATCCGCTTCGATTCTTGGATATGAAGATGGCGTAGATGAGATATTACGAGCGGCGGTAACACTTGTCGCTTGCATTCCGCGACTGCTGATACTTCGATGTGATCGTACATCCTCGACATCAATAGTTGCGGTTAAAACTTCCTTAAAGAAAATTAGAAATCATTATTAGCTATTCTTACTTTATCTCATATGTTTGTTTATTATGATATTCACTTACAACATCTTTTAACGAGAATTGAGATCCCTGCGCTACAATTTGTCCATTCACCGCAATCAAAGCGCATCCATCATAGTATAGCCGATCACCGTCGCAGCCTTGTTGATTTGAGTAAAGATATACTCCACCACTCTTGATTCAGAAAATTCAAAATGTTATATATAACAAATAGATTTGTAATTATTAAGATTAAAATAGATTAATAAATAAATAAATAAAACACCTTGAGTGTCGCCTCCTTAATCAAATCTATTCTTCTATACAATTTTCTTAATTCATGATGACTACCACTACTGTTTGTGAAAATTTCTACGCCATCTAATCCCATATTAATATGCGGGCTATAAAAATATCAAAAATAATATTAATTAACAAATTGTATACATTATTACAAGAAAAAACATGATTACCTATTAGGAGTAAACAATTCTTCACACAGTTCAACTCCGACACAAGTATCAATAGTGGAAATCACGGCATCGCCAATCGGCACCTTGGACTATAGAAAAAATATATTAACATAAATGATACCAAAAAGGAAAATAATTTTTCAATACATTACCTGACCGGTTATATTCCTAATCATCCTCGGCAAATAATACTCTTCGACATGCCGCATCGCAGACCAAGGCACAAAATATCGGAGTTCACGATAATTACCATCATTAGCTAGATACATCTTTGGGCGGATCAATAGAATTTTTCCATTGAGAATAATCACTCGACAATTATAATTTATGTTCTTGTGGGCGACTGGCCTAAATTTTTTATTTTGTGTAATTATTTGGATTAAAGATTTTTGATTACAATAATACTAGGTTACAACATACATTCCAATGTCGAGTAAAATATTTCTAGCATCATCAGATTCCAGAATTTTACCCAAAACTTCCCAAGAATGTAAATAAGTATCTCCTAAAATCGAACAATTTACTATCATATCATTTCAAGGAAAAGCTTTGCTATAGTTTATAGATATTTCAGCAAGATTTTACCTTCAAGAAAATGGTCAAAACATCCGTAACCACTTGAAAATAATTATAATCAATTTATCCGGAAACTAACAAAGTAAAAAAAAAAAAAAACACGAAAATCAAATAAATACGTTATCTCAAGCTCCGGCCCCACACGCAACTTTGCTCCTCTCTCTTTAGCAATTCTAATGCTTTCAAGTATTCTTTTCAAATTCCCTTCGAAATCTAAAGCCCATTGGTTAAGCGAACATGTTGCAACGGTTATGTAGTGTCCCATTTTCAAAATTCAAATGTAGTGGAACAACTTTCGTTGATTAACGTCACGTAATTTAATTTGCAACAATAAATAATAAATGACGCCGAATAAAAAATAATACAATTCGAAGTTGGATTTTTCCTACTAAACAATCTTACTAATAAATAGCAGATACTAGCACATTACATTACTTTCCGAGTTGCTTGGATATTAAAAACTTGAACAACATCCACACACAAGCACAATAGAAAAAGCAATTGCTATTTAATTAATCGAGAATGGTTCGTTTACATTTCGACGAATCCTGGAAAGCATTCGTCCAAATTTTTACTGTGTTTGTTTGTTGCGTGTTCATTTAACCTATTGTTATGTATGAATTTACGTCAAGTAAATATTTCAATTTTATAAAGAAAAATAAAAACTATAAAACATACGCTTTCGTCCTCACAGTACATAAAAAAGTATTGCGACATACACTACAGATTATAGTTCTTGCCGCTTCATTCTGTAGAATATATGAAGAATAATAATTATTAGCCTCAAGAAAACTGATTTAAACAAATTCTTGCGATTTTTATAAGAATAACGTACCGCTTTTTTTTGACTTGTGGATCCAGCTTTTGCCCCGTTTTTAGCGGCTCGTTCCCGTTTGTGTTGCGCTTTTTGTCCCTATTTTTGTATAATATTTTAATGAAGTTAAAATTTAAAAAATTCACGTTAGCTCTCGAAATCTCGGGAGTCTGTACTTTGGAAATAGACAAAAGCTCAAACTACATTCCCATTAGACTCACATACGTTGCCCATATCTACCACTAATGAAGCCTCAAATACAGAAATTTACACAATCGAAAGAGAGTTTAGAGAAACTTTTTTTATCGAAGACGAGAATTTATTTTTATGCAAATATCCCAAATTTACATTGAACATTAACATTTAGATCATGCATGCACTCCATGTGCTATAACGATAACGATAAATATAAATCACCAAAGAAACACGCGTCTCCGTGAATGAAAAACTTTATTTTTACATTCTTTGACACACTCGAACATATTCTATTTAAAAATGGATAAATCATATCCACGAATAACCGCTGCACAACTACATCAAAACAGTGGCCAAGTAGTGAGTATAGTGGGACGCATAGTAAAGGTCAGAATATACTCTTATTTGATAATGAGTCGCGAATTTGACGCAGAGACTTTGAGAATTGCTATTGTTACCGCTACTGCTACGTGTATAGATAAAAACAAATATTCCGAATGAATTAACTTAACGAATATATTTACAAATAAAAAAGACTGCAGACGGAACTGCAGTAATGAAAGCATGTGACCAAGCATTAGTAAAGGTTAAAATAGTTCAGGTATATTTGTTATTAATTTGATAAAAGCGCGTTTTTTTCGTTAATTAATGTTTCTATGAACTTATTTACATTCAAGGCTCAAAATTTTCAACCGGGTTTATTTGTGGAAGTAACAGGTCGTATAGGCGAAAATCTGGCTATAGAAGAATATCATTCCATTAATTATGGTGAAATATTTGGTAATTCATATATAAATAATAAATAGATTATATCGAATAATTAATTCCTTTTATTAATTCATTTCTCCACTTTTTACCATAGATATGAATCTTTATTCTCGTATGATAGAAATCTCTAAAAAATTTACCGATATAATCTTTTGATGATTTGTAATTATAATTAAAAAATACTACTTTATCAACAAAACAATGTTCAAAATGCTATAATTATAAGATTGTACAAAGAATTTGTAGTAGATTGTTCATTTTTCTTAAGAAATCTAATATTTTCAACTCACGCTACAAACGGATTCCCGTGTTTTGCTTGCAATATCACAAATGTGGACGACGATGTGGGTTTGGAATTCTCGTAACTTAACTTTTCTAGTACAATAGTGATTATTGTGATTATTATTATTATTATGATTATTGTAGTTATCATGGTTTCACAAGTCTTCACCGGCGAGTATAGTATAAACGTATCGGAAAATTTCTTGGTGACATTGATCAAGTATTTCGGGGACAGGAGCAACTCCCATGTTTCCAACTATTAATGTTATGGTGCTTAATTTCAATTGAAGACGAAAGAAATTATGATAGGATAATAAAAATCTAACCTGGTAATTTACAACGCCCAAATACTTTAGATTTTTGCTTTTTCTCCCAGTAAGGATGATCCTCGGGAACGAATATACATGAATGCTAATGATGAGGAAAAAATTAGTACTTGTCACTTTTAATCGTTGCACTAATAATAGTTGAATCTTTGTACCCACTTCATAATACCAATCAATAAGGTTTGTACCACGTCCAACCTTTGGTACTTCAATTTCACTTGGTACCATAATTACACCACCAACTCTGTCGAGTATCATTGGTTCTATAAAATTTGGAATTTATATAGAAAATTTCGTGTATAGCTCAGATCGATGTTAATTTGTATTACTTACCTCTCTCGGTGATTAGATTTGTAAAGCTAGAACATCCAATACCTGCTCCTAATAAAAACACATGTCTAGCCGCTGTATGACTAAAATTTATATGCGTATAATTAATTAATCCGAATAACGGGAACAATTCACTACTATTAAACAAGAAAATTGGTTTCTCTTTAACTTACAGTATCATGTTATCCCACACATATAACAACAGTTCATTTAAATCGTGACGTGATTGATTATCTCCCGGCTTTAATATGAGAAAATAAAAAATTAATACTTTATGAAAGCAATATGGAACTGATGAATCTTGAAAGTCTTACATTCGAAGAAAAGTCGATATCAATTATAGCACAATCTTGCTTGGTTATCGTATCTATGAATCGTAGCGAAAAATCAATCTAATCAATTTAAAAATGTCATTGAAAATATTAGCAGATATAATACATTATATATTATGAATCCTGATCTTCTGATATTATAGAAACTTGCCATGTACGATTTCTGCAAATTAATGAAATTTGACATCGCTTTTGTTTCCGCTCTGCAATAATCTGCAAATCAATTTGAAAATTTCTGGGGACAAAATAAATTTCTGCATAGTACAAAATAGTGTACCTGAAATCAGCCCTAAATAATAAAACAGATGTCGATTAAATAAACGGTGGATTATTGTTATACAGTAAATTTCAATTTTACTCACGTCTCGTGAACAAATATAAATATAATATTCGAAGTGAATAGGTTTTGACTGGATTTAATTAACAAATGTAGTAAACGACTTGGATTATTATTTTTTGATACGCATATTATTAGAGTTAATGATAAAAATACCTGCAAGTGATCTGATTGAAAAACAATTTTTTTAAATGTTCATTCGATATAGGAGCTGGTACCATCCTAAATGTTTCATAAAGATATCTTACTCGATATGCTTTTAACATGTCTAAGAGAAAAGAATAATTTACATTGATTTCTATTTTACATCTAAAGAAAAAAGCTGTGTACATAATGGATTTTTTCAAAATACCTGTCATATCGATAGCAATTTTTCCTAGTATTCTTTCTGGAATTTTAAATTCTCAAACGGTTAATATTTAATTTCCTTTATGGTTCTAAGCTAAGTTAGCCAAATACCTAGGGATCACACCCTTGATAACCGCACCCATAGCTAGATCACTCTCTTATACCCACAGCCATATTTATATTTTCTCATACCTTCAGCAATTTCAACATGTTCCGGTGCCAATGATTTCCAATAGCGCGATTGCACACGCAATACATTATGTACAGTTTCCATGCAATCTTTGCTTGGTTTGATAGGAGGAAGCCTTTCGGGTGCTTCGCCGAGCAAGACTTTAACGCAAGCCAGAGCGGATCGGCTTATGGAATCAATATTATAACCACCCTAATTTTTTTGCAAAATTCAATCTTTGAAAGTTATCAAATTTAGAAATCAAACAAGTTTTATTAAATACAACCTCTAGCGCTAATACCAGTCTTCCATTGGCTATACTTTTTAGCCGATGAGTCATGTGTCCAAAAGCTATTGGTGATACATGATTTTCACCAATCGGATCGCCTAATCGTGAGATACTTAAAATCAATAAAATTTCGATCAATCATGAATTTCAATTAATTTAATTGCAATTTACCTTCGGCAGCATCGAATCCCGCTGATACTATAACAATATCAGGCGAGAATTCATCAGCTATAGGCATTACAACTTTATCGAAGGCGTAAATATAATCACTGTCATACATCCCAGCACGAGGCCAAGGAATATTAATTGTTCTAAAGGAAAAACAGATATGAAAAAATTAAAAATGAATCAAAGAAAAAAATAGAAAACAAAACGTAAAAATTACTTACTTTCCTTTTGCCTCACCGGATCCAAAAAAAGTATAATTGGCTTGTTCAGAACCAGGATAGAATTCTCCATTCTCGTAACGATGTATTGAACAGTAGACTATATTTGGATCACTATAAAAAGCTTTTTGTGTTCCATTGCCTATTGATGAAGCGAAAACTTATTAATCTTACATATTAGTGGAAAGTTTTAAAATTCCTTAATTAATTACCATGGTGAATATCCCTTAGAAATGAAAAGATAACGATAATAAAGATCATATTAATATGATTCAAATTTTGATAATCGTAATGACTGTAATTTTTTTCTTACCAATCCAAAATTAGTATTTTATTCACATTATGATATTCTCTTAAACATTTTGCTGTGACAGCGACATTATTAAAGAGACAAAACCCCATTGCTTCCTCAGGTTCGGCATGGTGTCCGGGAGGTCGAACATTTGCGAAACCATTTGTCACCGTTCCTTGCATAACTGCCTTGCATAGTTCAATCACTCCACCACATGCAAGGCGTGCACAAAAAGCAGAATCGTTATTCAGATAAACAGAGTTATACTGATCACCGGTTTCAACCAGCTGGTCGAATTTCATTCCTAAAAAATTTACATCCAAATCGTATTATTTGTGCACCCATAGCAATAAATAAATGGACTAATTTAGAGTTATATTACGCTAAGAGAGTCCTAATATTCTAGGAAAGTTCGGTAAGTACCTGCAGTTTTATCCACTTCGTTCCAGTGCTTTACAGAGTGCACTAGACATACCTCTTCTTTAGTGGCTTCTCTAGCCGGTATTCTTACAAGTCTTTCGGTGCAGTTGTAAGTTTCCAAGATCTTTGCAATCCCACTTATTCGACTTGGATCTTCTGGATGGTATTCGCCTTCGTGTAAATTGCCGTGGTACCGCATTCGTATGTCATACACAAAGCCTGTTCGACTCTCTTTGAAAGCCTGCGGATGGTACTTTTCAATACCATTTGTAACAGTTTGCGAGTCAAGTCCTGGTCTTTTTAAAGTTTTACTTGTCTTGTCATTTAAGTTTGGTTTATTTGAATCTACGACGACATAAAGTTCCTCAATGTCCATGTTTTCTACAGACATCTCAGTATTTGCCGCTTAAATTAACGCAGTTTTAATAAATAAGTTCTATAAATCACTATATTAAGATATCTATGTTTCTATTATTGTTTCACAAAGGGTCCTCTTATGCAAGGTCAAGGCCTAAGCACCAAGATGCAAAAAAAAGAAATAATCTCTTTGAACCTTTTTTTAATTTACGCGAGGCTTTAATTTGATACCTCAAAAAATCGGTTCGGATGTAAACTTTATTTTAAAGAGTAAAAATGATTAAAAAATGTAAAAAATGTATGTAAAAAGCTCAAGGCTTTTTAGTTATTTGTCAAATGTCCAGTTCAAGGTACCATAATCGATCATACGGATCTCAGATCACATGAGAAATTTATTACGAACTAGTTACACTACCATTTATTGAGTATACATATTTAATAGTGAACATGCAAACGTTTTCTTTTTCTTATAACAAGATCTTTTTTTATAGTAAAAGCTGTCTTTTATATAATATACTATATGCTGTTCATTTGGATTTCTAAAACATTTATTAGTTCATTCATTTTAACAATTTTAACGATGATTTTTTTGAGTTTCTTATAATTAATATAACATTCAAACCTGTTTATTGAAGATAATTTTTTAATTTGATAATAATTTTGGCTATAAAATTCTACGTATAATCACACTTGTTTAACTTTTAATATATAATTAATCAAAAAAATGTTCGAAAAAAATAGAAAATAGAAGACAACATTTCAATCTGTAGTTAAACCCGAATTGACATAAAAAGTATTAGCTTTTTTGAGCACATAATATCTTATTTATTAAAATATTTTTTTATATAAGAAATTCATTGTCATTACTTTTACTGAATTATTTCTTATATTAATTAACTATAAAAAAAAATGCTTTTTATAATTATATATCCAATTTGATTTTTTCAAAAAAAATAGATTTGATTATATAAAATTATATAATATAATTAATCAAAATATTTTTTGATATACAGTAATAATTAGAGATGATGCAGCAAGTACGTGATGCTTATTTGTCACCTGTTGCAACATGTTGCAACTCCAAAATTTTATAAGTCACAACTAGTTGCAACTAGATGATGCTTTATTTGTCATCATGTTGCAACAATTGCTGTATTATCTTTAGTAATAATCAAAAGAAATACAACAGCATAAAAATTTATTAATAGAATATGAATTTTTTTATTGTGAGATATCAAAATTTATCCAATATTGGATCTGTTAATTTTGAAATTGCAAATTTTATATTGAATGTAAACTTTCAATTTGTACTACTAAATGACTTTTAATATTTTTTGTTATATACAAAGAACTTTCTTTAAGTGCATTTCTTTTGAAATTATATGAAAAAACAGTTTAAAAAATAAATAATTAGAAAGCATATATTTAGAACTGAATCAAAGTAAATATAGTGCTTATCAAAAATAACATATCTTTTATAACTTGTTATAAATCTTATATAATGTATCAAAATTTTCTGAACAAAATGCTACTACTTAACATAAAAACAAAAGTTTCAAAATCTAACTGGTAATTTTGTAGAACTTGTTATAAAAAACAAAGTTACTGATCAGATTTTGAAAATTTTGCCTCTGTATTGAGTAGTAATATTTTGAAATTATTAATTTAAGAGTTCTTATACTATATCTTTTATAAATTTTATATCAGATATTATATATTTATATTTAAAATATATATATAATTAATTATTTTTATAATACATATTAAAATATTCAATAATCTAGTTCTTGATTTTTAGTAATTTTATTTAAATAAATATATAATTATTTAATTTATTTAGTTAAATAAATCAGATTGTAATATTTTTATTCAAATTAAATTACTAATTATCAAAATATTATATCTTAAAGTAGCAAATTCATTTTTTAAAGTTAACAAAATTAATTAGTCAATTTAAAATATGTTATCTTAATTTTTAATAATTTGATTTAAATAAAAAAATATTATTTTATTCAAATTAAATTATTAAAAATCAAACTTTTATATTTTAAATTAATTAATTTATTTTTTGACAATTAATTTCTAATTAACTAATATAATTTGATATAAAATATTAATATATCAAAAAATAAAAGTAAAACTTTTTAATTATAATTATAAAATTTATTAAAAAATTTATAATTTTTTGCATTATTAAAAAGTATGTGTTAATTTAATTATTTGTATTATTTATATTTTTTTATTATTTTTAATAAAATTTTAAATAAGACAAGATTTTTTGAATTTTTTAAAAAAGTAGATTTTTAATATTTTTTCTATGAATATATTAGTTTATAAATTTGTATTAAGTAAATATATTAATATATATATAATAAATAATATTTTAAAGTTTAGCAAAATTGAATTATTAATAATTGAAAAATTAAGTTTTAAAATCTAAAAATTTAATTTTTTTTACTATATAAAATTTATAAAAAATTATTATAAAAAATCAAAATAATCAAATTCAAAAAGTTATTAATTAATAATATTTTTATTTTTATTTATATATAATAAAAAATTATATAGTTAAATATCTTTATAATTATATTTATTTATAATTATATTTTTTTATTGTTATTTTATTTTACTTTTTATTTATATATATAGTGACAATCAGAATAATGCAACAATATCAAAATTTATTAATTAAATATAGTAAACTATAAATTTTTCTCTTTATATAAAAGTTTTTAATTTTATTAATAAATATTTTTTATTTTTACATTAAAATGAAAATAATATCACATATTTTAATATATATATTTTTTAGATTTAATTTGATAAAGCTGTTCTAATTATATATAAAATTAATTATTTTTTTATATGTTTTAATTATTAAAAAAATTGACTTTATATGCAATTAGAATAGCTTTATCAAATTAAATCTAAAAAATATAAAAAAATATATATAATATTATCTTTATTTTAATGTAAATAAAAGATATTTATTAGTAAAATTATAAACTTTTATATAAAAAGAAAAATTTATATTTTATTATATTTAATTAATAAATTTTGTTGTTATTGTATTATGTCTGATTGTTATTATATATAAATATAGTAAAAAATTTCTTTATAGTCATATTTTCTTTATATTTATTAAAGTTTACTTTTTTAAAAATGATAACTATAAAAAAGTTTAATTATATAAATATATTAATTATAATTTAAATATTATATTTAATAAAAAAAATTAAATTTTAAAAGTAAAAAAAATTTTTTATTAATATCAAAATAATATTAATATTTTTGTATTAGATTATATAATTAATTATAATATTTTATTATCTAGTAATTTAATTTAAGTAAAAATACTATTATCTAATTTTCTAATTAATATTTTTATTCAAATTGAATTATTAAATATCAAAATATTATATTTTAAAATAAATAATTTATTATATTTAAAATATAAATATTTATAAATATATAATATAAAAGTATTAGAAAATTTTTATATTTATTAGTAATTAATTTATAATTATATTTATTAACAATTAATTATTAATATCTTTATTATTTATCATTAATAAAAATTATTAATAATTATAATTAAGTATTATTATTGCAATCAAATATAATTAAATTTTTCTATATTTACACCTATTTATAGTTATATCTCTCTATAGTTACTTTATTTTACTTTTTTATTTATATATAAATATAATAAAAAAATCTCTCTATAATCACATTCTTTCTATAAGCACCAAATTTTGTTTTTTTAAGAGTGATAACTATAGAGAGATTTGATTATATAATCAAAAATTATTATTTATAATTAATTATCAATTACAATTATAATTAATACTAATTGATAATAATATTAATAAATAAATATAATTAGTAATTAATTATTAATAGATTTAGTTAATAATTAATTATAATTACAATTAATATTGTTATAATATGAACTTTTATTATTAGTTATTATATATTTTATTAAATAATTTATATTATAATATTGTTGGATAATATTTATTAATATCTTATTAGATATTAGCTAGAAAAGATCTTATTTATTAATATTAGACAGTAAAACAAATAATATAATCATAATAAAATGATTTTAGTAAAAATAATATATAAATCATAATTAAATTAATAATATAATTATAGCAAAACAAATAATTAGATTCTAGCAAAAGTAATGATAGTATTATAATAAAAATAACATTCATAAAATTATCAAATATTATAAAAACAATATAACTTAGCAAATAATTTGAAATAAATTTTTTATATGATAGAACTTCAATAATAACTTAATAAATTTATATTTTATTAATTTTGATTTTGAAAAATAGAATATTTATAATAATCAATTTGTTATATTTGACTTGAAAAACAATTATTTGAAAGATTTATTATTTTGAATTATTATCTTTAAAATTATAAAAAAACTACTAAAGTTTAGTAAAGTTATTGGATATTATTCTAGTTTATTATAATATAAATACACATTATCTATCTTTAATAATAATTTTTAATCTCTCCCAATATAAAAACTTAGTCTTTCTTATTTTTAAGTTAATAGAAATACATAAATAATATATAAATAATTTAAATTTCATAATAATAATATTATTATTAATTAATAAAAATATTAATGATTAATTATTAATTAGTATAATTAGCAATCAATTATTAATATATATAATTTGCAATTAAATATAATTATACTTAATATTAATTAATAAAGATATTAATATTAATTAGTGAAATAATTAAATATCTTTATAGTTACTATTCTTAGAAAAGCAAAATTGAACTATAAAGAAAATATGACTATATAAAAATTTTTTTACTATATTTATATATAAATAAGAAAGCAAAATATAATAACTATAAAAAAATATAAATATGATTATAAAAAAGTTTAACTATATATTTATTTAATTAATATATTATACAATTAAAAAAATAATATATTAAAAGTTAATTTATAGTTTTATAATTAAGTATATTTATATTATCTAATTCTCTAATATAATT